GGGGGAGGGGGGGGCCCACGGCAGGGCTGCTGTCCCCAGGCTCCAGTGGCACAGGCGGTTGGGATGGGTGGGTGATGGCAAGCGTGCCACCCTCGCTTGTGGCCCTGCTACCACCCAAGAGGGATGGCTGTAGGGCGAGCACCCGCCGTAGGGCAAGCACCCCGCTCTGTGCTGGGCTGGATGCATGGTGGCACACGGGGGAAGATGCCTGTGCCCCAGCCTGGCCCCACATGGCACAGAATGGGTGAACACAATGCCAGGGGGCACAGGAAAGCCATGGCTTGACCCCAACCTAGTGCACTCACCCAACCACACAGCCCCCCCCAAAAACCAGTGCTCCACACACATATGACACCCCCAAAGCCCAGGGTCACATCACTGATGGGCACCCACAGCTCGCAGAGACCTCAGTGCCCAGGAGCCTCCGGGGCATGGCCCCAGCATCGCCCAGGATGGGGACTGCCAGCCCGGGGGCAGGGCTGCACCCCCCCATCGGCACCCAGGCGCTTACAAAACCAATGGCTCTATTAGAAACCAGAGACAGAAAACGTTAAAAAAAACAAGGCCACTTTTGAGATGAAAACATATGACGCACAAAAGAGAAATGGGGGGGGGGAGGGGACACGGGGCAGGTGGCTCCCAAGGGACACTGGCACGGGGGGGACATTGGTCCCAGAAAAAGCTGCAAAATTCCCCCAGGGAGACCCCCAGGGCTGGGGCGGGGAGCCAGCACCCACCTCAGGCGAGGGACATGGGGCAGGGGCTCTGCGGGGCCACCCCACCCCCCCCCAAATCAGGGAATGGCGTTTCGCTAGCAGTTTTGGGGAGGCTTTGAAGTGGTCCCAAGCCCCACCAGCCCACGCACCTCCCAGAGCCTGGGGGGGGCAATGATGGGGCCAGAGACCCTCCAGTCCCCCAGACAGGGTCACTGAAAGCCCTTTCCTCTTCCCTGCCCCTCCCAAATACTTCACAGGGAAGTGGGGGGCTACATGGCTGCTCCCCAGCCCTGCTCCCCCCAGGCTGGGGAGGGAGGGGGGGTGCCCATGGTCCCCTGGCAGAGGAGGGTGGGGGGCACCAAGCACAGCCCCCCCATCCCCAAGGCCTTGCAGACAGGGGAGAAGAAAGCCCTGGGGATGGGCAGAGCCCACGGGAGGGATGGGGGAGCAGCGTGACCAGGGGACACCAGGGGCCAGCACAGAAACCTCAGCCCACCACTGTGGCGAGCATGTCTGTTCTCTGCCCTACCCACAGGGCTCCCTGCAGCCGCCCTCCATGGATGGTCTTCCCAATGGGGGGGGGGTGTCCAAGCCCCCATGGAGGGCAGTGTCCAGCCGGGCTGGATGGTCCCACGCCAGGGTCCTGGGCGTATGTCCCTCGTGGCCCAACTCTGCCAAGCCCCCGGGACTGGGGCTGCACTGGTGGGGAGCTGCTTTGGGTCCCAGCCAAGGGGACAGGGACAAGAGGGGCCACCACCACCCAAGTCAGTCTTGCAATAGGTGGACGAAGCTGGCTGGGAAGACACCGGTGCGGGAGCCATCGCCCTCGATGAAGCCGACCTGGGGGTGCAGAGAGGGGGGGTCAGGAGGATAGGTGAGAGTCCCACCTCAGGCAGGGGAGAAGCTTTGGGGCCGATATCCCAGAGGGATTTAGAGAGGCAAACCCATGGTGGCACGTCAGTGGGAGCCTCCCCAGCCCTCCTCCCTGCACAGATGGGGCAGTTGGGCACCCAGCCATGCCCCCCATGAACACCCAGCCTCCTCCAGAAGAGAACTGGGGGGGGGGAAGGGACCAGGGTTGGGACCCCAGCGACGTCCATGCCACGCTGACACTCACCCAGCTCTGCTCGTCCTCCTCCCGCGTCACCACGATCACCTCTCCCTTGGAGAAGGTCAGCTCCCGCGCTTTGTCCCCCTTGCAGTCAGCCACCGCCTTCACCCGCTTCTGCCTCCCCTTGGCCTGCAAAGGGTGACAGACCCCCCCAAGGGAGGTGCAGGGATGTGACACCCCAATCCCTCCATCCGCCACCCCAGGATAAGGGGAGCTGGGATGTTTGGGGATGCCAAGGGTGACCCCCCCCCCTCCATTCACAGACCCTCTGAGACCCCCACCCGGAATTGTGGCACCTACCGGAACAAATCTCCTGGGCATGGGCACAGGGGGCACCTTGCTCAGCACAGGGTCCTCGGGGCCACCAGGGCTCTGGGGGGACACGGCTGACCCTGCTTTGCCCACCACACCGCTGATGCGCCGGTACGAGCGGGTGCTCTCCGAGCTGCCGGGGACAGCGTCACCCCCTCTCTGCTGGTGCCTTCCCCCCCGTCCCCCTTCCCACGAGGTCTCAGAGGGGTCAGGACTCCCCCAGTGGGACCCAAGGGACGAGGGTCCCACCCACAGCCCCCTGGATGCTGATGGAGAAGGGCCCCAGCACCCATCCTCCCTCAGACGAGCCCATCCCACCACAATTTCCAAAAAGAGAGAAAAAAAAAAAAAAAAAAAAAAA